ATTGCGCTCTTGTAACTATCGCCAGTTGGCGGAAAGCTTTTAACTATTTCCTCTGCAGGAGAATTCTTCTCCATAGCCTGTGCTAAATAAGCAAATTTATCATTATTATCTAATGTAGGATCTTTATCAATCTTTTGGATTTGCCCCCAAAATCCTAGCCATTTCTTCACGTTGCCGTCAAACATAGACAATTTAATCTTCGGATAATGTAACATTTTATTCTGAACAAAGGACGGATCAATTAAAGTTACATTCGGGGTTCCAGAAGTAAGATCTTTTACTTTACTTTCCAGAAGTCTCCACCTATCAAATATAATTCAGATTCATCTATTTCCTTAATAAGTAAAGTCTCATCTGTAATTTCTTTAAACATTAATTCTCGTATTTTCATTTCAGTATCAAACAAAACTTTAGCTTTCTCGGAAATAACTTTTATTTTAATTAATTTTTCTTCCTGATTAAATTTAGTTTCTTCATTGTCAAATTCATTACAAGCTTTACTGAATAGTCTTCTATACTGAGTTCTTGCTAATTTTAAAGCTTCCATGATTCAAAAATAAAAAAGTCGCTTACCTTGCAGACCTGTCACGGACGCCAAATGTTGATTTTCCGATGATAATCCTATATGCTATATCTGACTTCGAATCTAAAATTTTCTGAAGAACACAAAAACCTTGTCTAAAACTTAAAGGTTTATTTAACTGGAACTTCAACACGGATGAAAACTTAACATACCAAACAAAAACTTAACATCTTGGGTGGGAAAACTTCAAAGTGCTTTAAAGTAACAGCTATACCGGCATGGTGAAGAACACTTTCCCTTAAAAGACAGAATCCATCTAGCCCTTTCGGCGTATATCTCCATTTTAGTTTCGCTGAATTCAGACATCCGCTCCTACGTGTTTTGGACTTAAACGGCCAGGCTGGAACTGGAATAGGACTGGATCAGGACCGGAACTGGACTGGAACAAGACGGGAACCGGAACAGGACTGGATCCGCAACAAGACGGGAACCGGAACAGGGCGGAAACCGGAATCTCTCATCCCCTGGCTTCTCCCCGGGCAGGTCTATTCTGGCTCAAACTAAAAGGAACTGCGGTGCCACTAAGGAAAGCACCTCCTTTTATTGCCGGCGGTTGCCGTTACTACAGGCGACTTATGCAAATATTTAACACAAGTAATTGTCTCAGAATATTCAAAATTCTCAGAATGTGCATAAGTTTTCTCTATCAAATTAATTTTATACTTTTTCCCTCCTATTTTTTTCCAAAATATTTCTGGCCTTTTGCTGTTACAGAAATGGTAGGGATAATTTTTCTTTAGGATTTTAGACATTGCAGTTTGGAAAGTTTAGAAGGATTTGAAGGCAAGATTTATAGACCCACAATTCTAGAAGTTTCGAGAAATATGTGACAAAATGAAAAATGTATCCATGGTGTCAACATGTAGTGGATGTATTTTACAGAAAGTTTGCAATGAATTTCTTAATTTTTGGAGAACATCTGGAAGAACAATGAAAACATAATAGTTGAATGTTTTACTTCTGATACTACAATCTTAACATGTTTATCTTCTCTTTATTTTCTCTACTTTTCACTAGACAGAAGCATGGAAAATATCAAAAATGCTTCTGATCTTATCACATGGGCAAGGCATTATAGAAAGGGATTTTTATTAAAAAAGAGATTGAAAACTTACAATTTAAAAGATTCATATAATATTTCTTAATGAATCATAAACATAGCTGGCACTAGGCATTTTCCCACCTGATGCAATCTCTGTGGATCCTAAATTCTGCTGCTTAGTTAGTGCCTTTCTAAATTCTGCTTCCAATGCTTGCTCTAAATTCTAAGAGTTTTGGCATTTCTAGATTTTGTTCGGTGTGTCACTAAATTCTAGAAATTCTACCACATGTAACCGGCCTTTACTATATATATTTCATATTGCTTCTGAATGTTCATATTACTAAAGAAATAAAATTATCCACTTTTTCTATACATTCTAAATGCATTTAGTGTTTTTTAGAATAACAGAAATCCTTAATTAAATACAAAAATTCTAAAATAAAAAGGAAATGTGTTGAAGAAAGAAACTGAATACGTAAAGGAAATTATTCTTCAAAGATATGTGCAGTTATTATTATGTAAATTACCCAATTGTTTATGATTTCAACTTTTACTATAATTTTCCATTTCTATTTCCTCATGTGTTAGAATTATTGAGCCAGATTACATTTAAATTAAATTGTATAATCTTTGACCACTAGTCCACATTATTAGTTTTAATTTGACTATTCTTTTTTAATTATGTGACCTTGAGCTGTAATTGATTTTGTTAGCATCAGAAAATGCCTTTATGTTCTAAGTTCTTTTTAAATAAGAGATTTATTTAAACCTTTGTTTAATACTGTAGTTAATTTCAGACATAGCAATAATATGTTTCATGTCTGTCAGGGAATTTGGACTATTTAACTTTTATCAGATCAATTAAACTCTCATAGGTACACTGTGGAGGTTGACAAGTTAGGAGATAAAGCAAGCAGAAACTAACGAGAGCATTGGTTTGCATATTGAGACAAATCTCTAATTGTTAGAAAAGATGCTTAAAAGAGAAGAAAATTGATATAAATTAGCCAAAATGTCTGGAAAGGCTTCAAATTAAAATGACGGATAAATATTTTGTTGACTGTTGTTGTTACAAAACATTAATGTTTTGTAGCTTTAAATGTGTAATTATCTTAATATCGTTTAAGAATCTGTTTCATAAATTACATGTATTTTAAACTGTGAAATTTTATTAGATTTTGATTTTAATAGGCTTTATTTAACAAATATTGTTAAAAAATAAAATTTAATATTGGTCATGTAAATCCATAATGACTAAGGTTATCAAACTACCTAATTTAATTATGTATAACTAACTGCCTTACCCTTAAAAATTATCTCTACATATTAAAGTGAGTTATTGCCTTTCATTAATACTCACTGTGGTCACAAGATAAAATATAAAAATATAAAAATTCAAGTAAGACATATTCTATGCATCTACTGAGACTTAAAATAATACAAAACAACTTATCACCTCTGGTGCTTTAATGGCTTATAGGAACCTAAAAGTATATTAACTGGGTTACAATTAAAGTTGTTAAATGATTAAAATTAAATAAAATCCAAAGAGAGAAATTAAAATTTAATAAGCAATTTTTAATATAATTTTATTGCTAAAAATAAAAGTTACATAAAAGAAGTGCTAAAGCCTTCTTATTTAGGGCTCCAGTGCACTCCGGCTAGAATTCGAATTTATCCCCAAAGCTAAAAAGTACCTTAGCTGGAATCCTGTGGGCTCCGGCACAATTTAAGTTCTGTCTTTGGGTCCTAAATTCTGCTACCAGACGCATCCCTAAGTTCTAAATTTTTGCCACCTCTAATTTTGGGTCCCAGTGCTTTCCCTAAATTCTAAAAATGTTTTTATCTCTTAATTTTGCTGCTTGATGCTTCTCTAAATTCCAAAAAAAATTGTCTTCCCTAAATTCTGCCTCCCAGTTAAGCTATACGAGCTCTGGTGCCAGTTCTGGGTTTATGTGAATAACAAGTCTTATGCTTACCGTATATTCTAGTAAGGTGAACATTTAATACAAAAAATAAGGTTGAAATTCAGAGGTGCATGTTATATGCTAAATATAAAAACTACAGATTTAAAAAATATGGAGAACATGAGCATACAAAAATTATATCTCTACATGTACCTAAATGCTGTTTATTTAAAAAAAAATGACATACCGTATGAACTTTAAAATTTTCATCGTCAGATAACATGAAAATTTATTCATGTATGTTTTACGTTATATCTTTAGGCATATCATTGAATTTTATATCATCTTCACTATCTTCACTATCTTATCCATAAATAATCATCCTCCATTCCATCTAGATTATAAGAAATACATATATACATTTTTCAATTATTTTTGACTTACGTCGGGTTTAATTTCATTCCATGCTTTTATTATCCACACATACCTATTTCTTAGACTGGCATGACGCATTTGACAAAAGGATGCACATTATAAGGGGAATATATATAAAAATTAAAAAATGTAATTTGAAATTATAGGTGCACATTATACACTGGTATACATTATATGTCGGAATCTACTGTAATTCAAATAGCAGTAAGTGTAATCTTTTGCCCTATGAATATCATTAACAAAATCTATTTTTAGCGTATGGAAAGAAATTTTTTGTTAAATTTTTCCTTGTCACTATTTCTTAGCACATTTAACTTAATTCTGTAATCATCGCAAAGTGTAATGTCAACAGAAAAGGTTACCCTACTCTTTGTTTTTCAATTACTAATATAAAAAATTTGTTTAGGTATCACTGCATGAGTCATTACTCAAGTTGTCATGTGTTGGATAAACATATGGTGATGAAATCAAAATATAATAAACAATGATTTGTCAAGTTGTCGTGAACGATGTAAAATATTAGAAGGTGCAAAATGAACAATATTTCTATGTAGAATGTTTCAGTTTGAGATGTATGTCAAGCAGATATGCAGCTACGGAGTCAAATTATTGACCACACAAATTTATGCTGAAATGATTGTTTTTTCAATAACGAAATATTGTTTTTAGTGAGGAAAGGAAATTAGGAATCGGGGCTTTCTACATGTTTTATTATGGGGGGGGGGAAATCAAAGGCGCATGCTTTAAGCATATAAAAAAAAATTCCTAAAAAACAAAAGGGGGAGGGTTGTTGGTGGCTTTGTGGTCAATTGGTAAATTTTACATCATTCCAGATATTGGATGTCCGGATGTCTGATTTTGTACTGTACTATATTTTTAATGTAAATACATCTGCTTTTCATCTGTTTAATATGAGATTATAGACATGTAATTGCTCACTATTCTTGGTCATAAAAGCTAGGTCCAAAAATCGAAGTATTTCTACCATAACTTTAGTTGTTAATGTATAAATATAGCCTTATTTTACTTTCAGGCCAGAGGCGTTTGCAGAAAATAACTCAACAAAAAATGAGAGGCGGCATTCTACAAATTCTGATGATGAATTGTTTGTAAATACTAACAGACCTTATGTTGAGTTCAGCTCATCATCAGAAGAGGAAGAGGATGAAGAGAATTGAAATATGTAAATAATGAAATAAATTTATTTCTTGTACAGTATTTTATTCATTTGTATGTGGTGTTCTCAGAATTTAATTACAAATTATGTCAGATGAGATTTGCAAAAATTGGTAAATTAGCCTTTTGTTTTTGCTTGGTAGTGAAATCGCAAAGACAAACCTAATAATATTATTGATAATGCATATAACATCAAAGTTGTAGCTATTAATGGAAAATTGGGATTTGTGTTGTTTCTTCCATCGTTATAACTTTTTACTTTACATCTAATTAAAAAACTACGAGTGGAATGGAGCAGATATGATAAATACCCAGTTATATATATATATTTCCAAATGGCAGGCACTTGCCTATAACGGCATTGCCACTACTAAGACCAGAAGTGGTGGTCATTTTATTGTGGAGGCACCTAATAGGTGGCCACCATTATGTAATAAGAAAGGACAGAATATTTTTGCATCCATTTACTTCTCCGGGGTTCGAACTCAGGCCCTTTGGTATCGCAGTCAGGCTCCCCTAACCACTCTACCGTCTGGGCGGCCAGTTATATTATTATTTAGTAGTAATTATTATTCAGTGATATTTTAGTTATACAGTCAAAAGTCGTTAATCCGGACTCGTCTGGACTTCGGCGATTCTGGATTATTGATTTTTCGGTATTATAGATCATCAGTTTAAATCTGGTAAGATGGCATGCAGAAATTATAAAGTTAAAAATATGAAACTATAATTTATGAAATAAAGGACAATTATGATCTAAAGGGTATCAAAATTTGCAAAAAGAAAAAGCTTAATATTTATTTGTTTACTTTACTTTCTTCGCTATCGGAAGCGAATTATAATGACGAGGAATTCGATTTAAATCATATCAAAGACGGAGTACATTGAGATGAAATACTACTTTAGTAAGGAATTATAAGCCAAATAAAATAAAATAGATAAGGATAGTGCTGACAGATCAACTTCCAATTCATTGCGCGCCACGGCGTCCCCCCGCCACAGAGCAGTGTGAAATTGATAAACAGATTTCGGAATGGTTAGATAAACAAAGGATGTGCCTTTATCCATTTTTTGCAACAATTCCACTTTTTGTTTAATGGACTTTTAAATATAATTTCTCTTTGTAGATCCTTTACGTATTAGTAAATAATAATTCTATTTGACATAATCGAAAGTTCAAGCTTACTTTTATAAAATTGGTCTAACAGTCTGCAAAAAATAATAAGCCGGATCCAATTCGAAGATTAAGGAACAACGCAATCTGCAACATTAACTGAATTAGATAATTTTAGCTTAGCTTATACCGTCTGTTATACATTAAACACGCATGCGTAAACATATTTTGGGAATGCGCACACGCATATTTCACAGCCGTAAAGGTCTTACGCGCATGCGTCGAAGTTTGTAGCTTTAAGGTCCGAATTATAGATCATTCCGGATTATGGGTGTCCCAATTAATGACTTTTGACTGTATTATTATTTAAAGCTGCAGTCATATAATCAGATATTTATTATAAATTTATGTTGAAATATTATCTTGAGTTTTGAATACATTATGACCTACTTTTAAACCCCAAATAAGAAAATTAAGCTAAAAAATTCCTTTTCCATAAAGAAGCTTTAGTGCACTTGACTCTAAAGTTGTATACAATTTAGAAAAAATAATAAAAAAAGGAAATTATGTCTAGAATGCCAGATGATATGGCATAAATTTTAAATGTATCAGAAAAACAGAAATTTCATTTGAAAGACATGTGGTTTTTATGGAAAGCAGTGCTGTATGGCTATAGTTTGCAAATTGATTCTTTCGACTAAGCATATCTCATTTCAGTTTTATCATGCTGTGAAAAATGCATTGTTTCACAAAAATGAATTAATTTTTTTCCTCGAATATTGAACTAAATATATTAAATACTTTTTGAAAAATATGAATTTAAGTACCAGCTAAGCAAGAACATGTTTAATAATAGACTAAGCAAGAATGCATTTTGTGTTAGCAAAATATTTAATTTTTAATGGCACAATAATTTGATGGCGTAGTTGCTTTGAATTATGCAAACAAAACAAATCAGTTTTGTTAACTTTAATTAAAAAGGCAGAATATTACAAAAGAAACTTTTTATTCATCTTCTGTTAAAATAGTAATGACTACTAAATATGGGCTATTATTTAAAAAAACCAGGGATCTTTGATTGTAATATATCATATTACAAATATGTGCAATATAATAAACCAGACTGAAATTTATTTTAAAAAAGTGTTCCAAATTTGCGATGATATTCCCAACACTTATATTAAATATCATGAAACAGTAGGGTTTTTTTTATTTATTTACATCTGATCTGTATTTTTATTCTGTGTTTTTTTTTATACAGAGGTTTTCCTGAGCTCTGTGTTAAATCTGTGGTTTTTCGTTATGTCTTATAGCCTGATAACATTAGTTGAAAATTGCAGATCATGATAAAAAAATTGCTATGCTGGTTAAATAGTCAACATTTTTATTAATTCGTAATATCCAAAAAAGTTGCTGTGTCTTTTAAAGTATTAGTACAATGTTCTGTAATTTAAATCCTTTTTATTCCATACCCAGAATGACTGAATGTCTAAAGCCATGGAACACTGCTAACATGGCAGATGAAACCTGGGTTCAGAGCTGGATTAATCGTTAAGCACAAAAAAAAAAAAAAAAAAAAAAAAACAAGTATGTGTTTACAGCATCAAGGAAAGTAAAATCGTAAAAAATTGATTGCTGAATGATGAATAAAATCATAAAAAGCTTGGGGCACCAAAAGAATTTCGCATTGCCAATTTTATCTATGTGTTGTAGTAAACCAAGGCCTAAAGAGAAGAAGCATGGGGAAAAAGCAAATGTAAATTTACATGGGGCACCAAAATCTAATTGCTTAGGAGCTTAAGTCTTACTCTGATCCTACGTGGGTTTCAAGACTTTCCCATGCATAACATAGGAAATAGCCTGTTTCCATTAAAAAGTCCTCTGCAAACACAATTGTAGAAATCCTCATCAGCTTTGTTGTAATGGTAAACAAATTAGTTTTTCAGGCTTTTAAATTTTATCCTTTTTTGTAAAGCAAATTACGGAAGGAATCTCGTATCCATTATGCATATATCAAGCATTTTGAAAATGTTTCCTATGTTTTAGACATTTTGAACTGTCATCTGTTTTGGACCAAGGCGTAGGCTTTCGGAGTGCCTTTGCTGAAACCAGCAAATTACCTCCACAACTTCACTAAGGAAAACTGAATAATTAAGAGATAAGCATAGCTAAAGTAAAAGGAACAAGAACCGTTAAGGGTTTAAAGAGACAGGATATCAATAAGGAGTATCTGTTTTGGATGCAACTATAAAAATGATTTTAAATTTCTAAAAATTCTGATTCTCTTATATAAATTTAAATGCACATGTAGATTTTTTTTAGTATAAGAAAATTTCTGCCTACTTATTCTGAGCTGTGTTTTATGATTAAGAAATTAAGAAAAGCTTAATAATTAAGAGTATAGTTTAGTTTATAACAGGGAATTTCTAGATATATGCATATCTGTCATTTAATGTATGAACTCTTCTGGGTATTTCACATTAGTTGACATACATATTTGTTACACTTTCCACCTGTTATAGTATTAAAGGTAAAATGATATGAAGACATAAATTTATTAAAGTAACAAATCTCATAAATTTATTTTTAAATCAAGGAATATGACTAATTTTATGTAACATGAAAAGATAAAACTGAAAAATTGTGTGATTACTTTCTTTGTACATTTCCCCAAGGTCAAATTTTATGGATTTGGTAGAAAAAGTTCTTACTGTATGTAAAATACTTTACATTAAAATGCAAAGTATTTTACATTTTAATGTGATGGCTTTTGAAAAAACTTGTACAAATGGAAATAATTAAGCATACATTTCTGAGAATTTTTTTACATTAAATGCCAGTGATAAGAAGTGTAAAGGAGGAAAAATCGATGAAAAAAAAAATCTGAAAGCTTTCAGGTTTTATATTACGCCCAAAGGAGCATTTTTTTAATGTTTTGCGTGTTACCTTTATTTATTAAATATCATGTTCTTCACATGTAAACCATAAAATTCAATTCCTCAGCAATATTGCAAAATAATTTAAAAAGAGCATATGTTTAGAATTTCTCATACTCAGTATTGCAGGATGGAGATTATTTTTTCCCCCTGTACAGTGTTGCCATTGCTCACTTAGATATCGTTGAGTTTCCTTATGAAAAACTCATATATGCTTTACAAAGTATGAAATAGTAAAACAAATTCCAAATTTGGGCTTCCAGATGCCCATATTCATTTGGCGACGTACGCTATTCAAAATTTGATGGCTCTAGATACCGTTGTTTTATCACAGTGCGAAAAACATACATATATTTATGCAGATTCTTCATTATTTAACTTATTTGAATATAAAACAGAGCTCTAATATTTGGTCACAACAATTTGAAATGTGATTCAGACTTTTAAAATTTTCAATAAAAAATGCCAAAACAAAATTAATAGCTCTTCTGAGCTAACACCCTTTGGGCTAAAAATGTGGTACAGCAGTGCTAACAGTAAGCTCCAAGACAATTGTAGTATTTTTTAAACAACAACTAACATTATTAATCTAATTAGTAGTTATCTAAGTGAAAGTTTGTAATTGTAATATCAATTATCCTGCTGACTCCTCTTATATTGCTTTAAAAATGAAGTAATAACAGTGCTGTGTAATAAAAGAAACTATTATTATTTTCGGAACATTGTATATAAAAGATGAAACTGGATGAAACAAAATAAAATGAGTAAATAAACTCCTGAGAATTAATACTCATGAAAAAATAAAGTATTTGGATTTGAAACAAATTAACTATTACATAAATTTTCCTCACAAGGCATTATGGACTTGACAGAAAGAAAAAATATTATACATTACATGTGTTGACAAATAAAAAATGACTAACTTATTGTAGATATAAAATTAGAGAAACAACATTCATTGCATTTTTTAAAATGAAAACAAATTGTGATAT